AAAAAAAAAAAAAAAAAAAAAAAGTCTGGGGCACAGGAATAAACAGTTGGGCAGAACACGCCCCAAATCATACACTGGGGAGAAGAGGGAAAGGAGAAGAGGGAAACAATGAGACTGGGAGGAATAGGGGTCTGGTTGGGATAGCAGGTCTTGCAGGTGAGGCCCTCTGGGCCAGTTCTCACTATTCCTGAGGCTGGCAAGCTGCCCAGGTGCTCAGGAGTTCCTCTGTGCAGCAGTTTCCTGACCAGAATCCTTCTGCTTAGGACCAGCTTGTCCCATGAGAATTTATCTTAAGATAAGTTTATCTGGGGATCACTCGTAGGTGATCTCCATGCCAGGCTCAGTGTGTACATGAAGACCTAGGGTGTGTTTGGGGGAAAGAGGCTTTTTTCCCTGATGTCTTGGATGAGTTGCAAGGACGGCACCCCTCTCCTCGCCTGCACTGTCTGTGGTTTCCTCAGCTAACCCCAGTACCCCTGGATTGGGTTCTTCAGTGCTTGTCCTTGCCCCTAGATGAAACTAAGGAAGCTGGGCAGCGCTTTGAAAGATGGCAGGCAATGGAGTTGGCAGGTGGAGAGCAAGATAAAGCGAAACAGTAAGGGTTGGGGGCCAGGGGTCACAGGAGACAGGAAGCAGAGCAAGGGAAAAGTAAAGTTCAGCTGGGCTTTAGGAGCAGGTGTGCAGAACTATAATTCTGAGGCCCTGTGGCCAGAAGACTGGAGCTAGGGTGACCTTTTTGACTCACTCCTGAGGCTTTTCTCTGTATTCTTGGAAGGCAGGACCCCGCCCACACCCCCCGCCCCCCGCATCCCACTCCCAAGCATGGATGGCCAAGAGTCCGTCCAGGTTGATGAGCAACTGTGACAGACAGTGCAAAGAGGTGTGGAGAGAAAGTTAGCTGGTCCCAGGCAAATGGTGGGTGTCCTGGGGTCTCCCATCCCTTAGCCTGGGGGCGAAGGTGGTCTATTTCTATACTGTAAGCCACAGACCTTTCTCCAGCCTTTAGTGCATTCCTAATATGAACGCAGCTCTCTGAACTTCTACTCCACCCAGACCCCACCCCGACCCCCACCCAGGCTCTGCCCAGGCCTAATTTAAAGTTGTGATGTATAACGCCCCATTTCTCTCTCTGCCTTGCAGCCGTCTCCAACCTGGACATTGAGAGTAAACTGAGTGTGTACTACCGTGCGCCATGGCACCAGCAGAGAAACATCTTCCTCCCGGCCACAAGGCCACCCTGCGTGGAGGAGCTGCACCGCCATGCCCGGCAGAGCCTGCAAGCCCTGCGCAGAGGTAACTGGTCCTGAGCTTTGCGGGGCTTTTCGGAGACAGAACTCAGAGCTTGTCCCATCAATTCTAACACCTCACCTTGTTATAACAACTACTTTGAAATGCTCCCTTTTCTACACTGAAAACAAATTCATGGGTAATATAACCTGCTTATACATGTAATTAGAAATAGCACTATGGTCTGAATATGTAATAGAATTTAAAAGGAAAATTATTTATAATATTTGCAATATATAAATGCCTGGGCACGACTACACTTAAAGACATCACAAAGCAGTCAGATGTTGGTGCCTATAAATAGGTTTGGATTAAGTAAAGATAATCAGAAGCCATTCTGAACAAAAAGTAGAGGGAAATGAAGGAGTTCGAGGCCAGGAGGACACAACCATAAAAACTGGTGCATTGTGCATACATTAAACATGAGCAACCCCCCCCCCGCAAAAAAACCCCACGCCTTTGGGTTATAGTTAAAAGAGAATTAGGTTTGATTCAGAAGTAGGTTCTAGGTTTTTTCCCTCTCACAAGAAATGCTGGTAGCACACAGGTGGGACCTAGGGCACTGTTTGTTTGTTCAGGACCCTCCTGTGCCTTGTAGGACAGCTGTCATCCTTGGCTCCCGCCTAGTCCTCTAACAGCCAGACCCTCCCTCAGGGGGTGTGCTCCTGTTGAGAACCAGTGACATGGGCCATTCTCCAACAGAGCACGTGGAGGCCTAGTGAGGTCAGCAAACTTGCTCAGAGTCACATACATCCCATTAGGTAGAATGCCAAGACCCTGATCCAGGCCTCCAGACCCCCAGCCAGAGCTCTTTTCCTCCTCACTACACACAGTGTCATGGGAAAATAAATATTTCTCTTTCTCTTTCTCTCTCAGTCCTGAAAAAGCCAGAGATAGGCACAAGGCAGGCAAGGTAGAAGGTAGCCGCCTTCTCTTACTTCCCGGTGGCTTAAAGCCATTGTAGTTGGGACAAGATTAAAAACTGGCATTATCCTTTTAGAGCCCCCCCTAAGTTGGGTATCAGAAGTTGGCACGCCAGCTTTTCTGGCCTTTAGATTTTTGCCGTGGAGACAGATGGTGGTGTCTATACCTTCAGTGCCTTTGTTCCAAATTCCCTATGCTCCTGTAAGGAATGATATTTTCCAAAAGTATTACAGTTCAAATTAAACACTTTAATGTCACCATGAAGATGGAGAAATGACATATTTGTTTTCAGTTTATGTTCTTCCACATGTTTATGACTTCTCCCTTTCCCCATAGCCCTGGTCTTCTCCCCCTTTAATGAAAGAATTAACCGACTAATATCCCTAACTCAGCTGTTTCTAAAAATTCCCCTTGGTTATTGGTAGCCGATACTGTGACACTTAGAAAAAAGAGTGATGACCAGTATCCTCTAGAAGTATTTCCGGCACTCTTCCTAATCACTTTGATTTTTTAAATTGAGTCACTTCAATTTTGTAGTTGGCTAAAAAGTCCTTCTTTACCAAATTTTTAGTGTAAGCACCTTCTGGAAATCTTCCTTAACATACTCACCGTTCCCTTGCAGCCTCTGTTAGGCACCCTTCCCATAATAATATCCTTTGCATCCTCCCAATCATGTCATTTATACACTTATATCATCACTAACCCCTTATAGGCCTGTCTTCCACCATTAATCCATGAGCAACTCAAGAGCTCAGATGGCATCTTATTAATTTTTTTATTCAAATCACTTAGCATGAACTTGACATAGAGTATGTCCTCAATGAATGTGTGCGTAAGTAAATCAAATTCTATAGAAAAATGGTTGAACATTGAGGGCAGAGAATGATGACAGAGGAATCTGATCATTCTCACTAAATACTTTCTCTGATCCCATCATCAGAGAGCTTGAGTTACGTTAGCCCTTTAGACATAATTATTTTTATCCCTTTATTATTATTCATAAGTCATCCCTGATTAGATTTTCCAGATTCGACCAGATAACATTAAGCTGCTTGGTAAGCTATCACATTTCACCGTGTTGTCGGGTTTGGACTTAATGATAGAACTGAGGAACAGCAAGTGCCAATATCAATTTTCTCAGAACTTCCTCCTGGGGGCTGAGAGAGGGATATAAGGCCTCCTGGGGGTTTGGAAGGAAGATTGTGGAGCTGCTTCTTGTCCTCCACAGACTGGCTTTCTTTGAGGTTCTCTCAACAGCAAATCTTGGGTGTAGTAGTTTTAATAGCACTGCAGAGAGCCATAAACAGGAATTACAGGCATCATAGAATTAAAAACATGCAGTGTGGAATTAAAATTAGAAAGTGACTTTTTTTTTTTTTTTAACCTTGTCCAAGAAACAGCAGCTTAGCGGGGCATCCATCAGAATACCACGCCTGCCATCTGGTGGCCGTGACTAGCACCGACCGGGCGACAGCCCTGCTCGGCAAACAGGGCAGTGAGCTTCCCCGGAGGCTCTCTGGACAGCTGGAAGATCCTGGCTTCCACCAGGACTAGGGATAATGAAGCCCAGACGAGTAAAGCTGTGGTGGCAGCAGTACTGTGCTCCTTTTGGAGCTGAGGCTAAAAGGAGAAAGCAGAGGGCTGAGATCAGAGCCTAGAAACTGGCTGCTTTCAAGATCCGCTCAATAGCAAACCCCTCAACATAGCCTACTGAGGCCAAGTGCTGCGCCACACCTGGGACGCGGTGAGCAGTAACTACCACTTGGTCCCTGTCCAGAGGGAACGCCTGTCTGGTGAAGGAGCCGGACAGGTAAGCAGGGGACTTCGGCGCAGCACCGTGGCTGCTCAGAGGAGGCACTAGTCGTGCCAGGGAGCTTCAGAGAAGGCTTCCCAGAGCAAGTCACACCTCACTGGCTTTCAGAGTACTTAGAATTGGATTTCCCCCTTCCCCCCTTTTTCTTAGCAATTCTTTATACTCACAGCCAATGATGGCTTCTTTAAGGGATGCCATCGTTTATGTTTGTAAGACAGGGAGAGAGATTACCAAGTGGCTGTAAAGAGACATTTCTATTTTATATTGTCTTCCAAGTTTCAGGGCTGAGGTCTATGATCCACTGGTCTAAAGGAATACGGACCAAGGGTCTACTGCAGTTCCAGACTCTAGCGGGTGAATGTTCTCCCGACCATAGCACCAGAAAAAACATTAGTAGGGAGCCACTAATCTAGCCTGCCTCCTCCCAGCCCAGGGCAAATGAGAGAGATTTGAGAAAGTGTAGGAAGGGAACCACTAAACGGGAAATTGAGTTCATGTCTCCCTCCTGACTCCCTTCCTCTGACCTCTTCCTAACCAGTGACACCTGTATTCTACTCCTCATTATGTATTTTAAAATGTAACTTTTTCCTTGTGCTGTCCATTTAGAAAAGCCCATTATTGGCTTGCAGAGAAAAAAGAGGATGGCACTAGAGGTAGACACTTCAACAAAGAAGACATTTATCTCAAAAGGCTTTCTGATAACCACTGGCTGGGCCGCAGTTTGGCACAGACTACCTCTTCGGAGACTTCGTGTCTTGGTTAGACGAGGAGGACCCAGGCATGAGTGTGGGCCGGAGCTGCAGGCTCGGTGGCCTTCAGTGTGGCCGGTGTGTGGGGCAGGGTGTGCTCTGTAGCTCACTGAGACACCCAGAAAGCTAAACTGCTCTTGGGCTCTCAGTGATTCTTGTTACGAAGTCAGGACCACTTCATCCCACAAACAGAAATGTCTTGGCTTTCCTCAGAGGTAGCTTTATTTCTAAATCAGACAACTGTCATCATTAGGATTCCTTTACTTTCTCTAGGAGCCTAGGATTTCAAAGCCCTCTGAGTGTTAGGCATGACAGAGCTTAGATGGCTGCAATGGTGTGCTGCTCACAGGCTCTCTAGAAAAGAAAGTGTAGATAAAGAAATAGATAGCTGGTGGAAAGATAGATAAAAGCCCTAATGTGTAACACTCACTAATTTCTGTGATGTAAATACCTCCACCGTGGCCTACTTCAAGCTACCAATAGTTTAAAAACTGGCCTGCAAAATTCCTGACCACGTAGCAGTCAGCAGCCCTGAGCCGGGGTGAGCCGACTCCCTCACCCACTGAATGGCTGGGAGCATCCGCGCCTGCCACTCCCCAGGAGGCTCTGGCATGGCTGTGCCTACCATCCCCTCCAGCATCAACGTCAGCTATTGTTCTAGACTTTTTTTTTTTTTTTTGCTCATGTTGTTTTGAAATGAAGCATGTTGAAAATATACTGCTTTTTCCAAACTCAAGATTGAGCCATCTCGTACAAAGATTATGAGATGGGCCCGCTAAAATGTAAGTGCCCCTTTTCCTATTATCGTGAAATGAAAGTTTAGCTTGGAACCATTCTGAAAATCTTATTTGGTATAAGGATGAGCTAGATTAGGAGAAACTCACTTTTTTCTAGCCGTTTGCTCACCCTCCCAAGGGGGAAAGAGAAATGGACGATGCCAAGGACGTGTCCGTATTATTGCTTTTTCTGCCCCCAGAGCACCGGAGCCGGAGTGATCGCCGGGAGCAGAGAGCCGCTGCCCCTCTTTCCATAGCGGCCCCTCCACTGCCAGCCCATCCCCCAGCTCACAGCCAGAGGAGGCGCGAAGTTAAGGATCGGCACTTCTTAACGGTGAGCTTGGTGGCCAGCCGACAGCCCTGGCCTTGCTCATCAGAAACCATGAATGGGTCTTGGGAGTCCATTTCCTTCCTCCTAATGGAAGAGCCTGGGCCACCTAAGAGAGCCAAGTCATGGGTATTTGAGAGTGACTGGATTTTTTTTCCCCTTTCATTCATGTGTCTTTTGGAGAATAGAGTAGGAGTACATAAGTTTTTTTTTTACTTAACTGGTTGCACAATGCAGCAAAGCCATAATAATTGAGGACTCTGAAATCAGGGGGACAATTTTGCCTCAAACAGGAGTTTTTCTGTATAGAGGCAGAAAGATTTAGAGCAGGTGACTTCGGTGTCCTCAGCCCCTCATCTGTAATTTGGGGATATGAGTAGCACCTCACTCATAAAGTTTGAGGGCTAAACGAGATAAAGCCTGGAAAGAAGGTAGCATGGTGCCTGGCACGGAGTAAGAGCTCAGTAAATGTTCACTCTCACCGGGCAGGTGCTAGTGCAGATGACTCGGTGGGGTGGGCTGTGAAAAATCACCGTCTGAAGATGAGCCATGTCATGCTTTCATGCTTCCCCATTCTATAAGGGAGGCTAGGCCTGCCGGGTCATCAGGTACCCGAGTGTCCTCATCACTGCTGGTGATGGCAGCTTTGCCTGGGTGGATGTGGTTCTAACTCAGCCCAAGCCCCCAAGTACCAATGACAGATGAAGCTGAGCCCAGGTCAGAGCACCTACAAACATCACCACCACGAGTGCACTTTCTATGGCCTCGGCGGGGAGAGGTGAGCGCTGTGTGCCCCCGAGAAGGGCATCACTGAAGTGAGAGACTATGATTTCTATGACCAAATCAGCCCACATGGCTGGACCCCTGCTCCCTTGTCAGTACAGTTTGAGGCCCAAAGTCTTAAGAAGTTACAAGTGTGGGTCCAAGTTGAGGTTTTTACTTGAAATTAAGCTTCTGTGTATGGTAATAAACCCTGCACCCTTCTGGCTTCTACGATACACAAAACAGATACAAAATATTTGGACTGCGGGATGCCAAACATCCAGCTGAGAACAGACTTCATCTAAATGAACATACCCAGATACAACAGTAAGTGATGTTGACCAAGACATAGATATTTTTCCTACCTGTGGCTGCACCGTGGGCTCCATGTCCTTCAGGCTCATCGAGGCTCCTCAGAGCTGTGTCACACTCAACTACGCTGCTGCAGTGTAGCCCAGGGATGAGGAAGGAAGGTGAGAGACTCTGAGGGCTTTCTAGGTCTTTACATAGAGCAGTTACACATGCTAGTCATTTGTCATAAAAGCCCCTGCTCGACAAAAGTTTTATTAAGCTCAAATCTGCTTGCAAAAGCATTTGCTTTTAATGAGGCATTTCTGCATAAAAATGCTAAAAATATTTTTCCATTCATTATAACGTGTTTTGTGGCTCATTAAGTTTTTTTTTTTTTTTTCAGGGGGGCGGATGGGAGAGAATAATGTTGAGCATTTACAGAAATGACATAAAAAATCACCATTTGTCATAATCTGCATAATTTTTAATAATGTCTAAATACCAAAGTAAGACTATAGGAAAAAGCCTAAAATAATGAATAAGAATGAGGGTGCTTCATTTACCGAACAAGCATTAATAAGAGGAGGAGTCTAGAGCAAACTTACGTAAACCAGAAAGTGTACCCATCTCAAACGATAATACTTAAAATCGCCCCAATTACTTAGGAATACTGTTTCATTTATTTGATCGAGTTTGGGTCACCAAGTTCACTGGAAGATCTTCCATTCAAGTTCTATCCCTCAGACCTGAAGGTGATTCAGAACAGAACACAGTTCTATGCACTGAGCTTTTAAGAGCCGTAGACTGCTACCAGAGAAGAGGCTGCAGGTACAGGGACAGGAAATTTGCAACCACATTGCTGGACATTTTCTTAGAGAGCAACAGGAAAAAAGCATTCATAGTGAGATTCTGATACACAATCTTCCACAACTCTGCAAACTGTTATACTGTAGTTTGGTCATTAAGGGTATAGACTGTGAAGTCAAACTGCCTGGATTTGAATATCAGCTCTACCATCTATTAGCTGTGTGACCCTGAACAAGTTAGTCATTTTAGTGTCTCCGGGATAATAGTGATAGTACCTCATAAGTTTGAAACAAAGACTGAATGTGTTATTACATTGTTAATACATGTAAATAGTACCTAATGCATAATAAGCACTTGATATGTATTAGACATCATCATCATTGTTAATAGCCAATCAAGTTCATGGTGTATCATTGATATTGTAATAAGATGATGGGTCTAACTAGGTTTCAATCCCAGCTCTACAATTTCTTCGGTTGCATGATTTTGAAAAAGTTTTGAGTCCCAGTTTCTTTATCTGTGAAATGGGAATGATAACTTCAATTTTACAAGGTTGTTAAGATTTAAAAGTGTTATATAAATACAATTAAATCATGTATATATGAAAAAGTCCCTAGTGTAGTGCCTAAAACATACAAATATCTGAATCTATATTCATAAACACTTAAAATCAAACTCTTACCATCAAATGAAAAAGCCTGTAACATATTCACTAATAAGACTAGAGGAAATATAAGTTATTGTACTCCTTCTAGAGGGCAATTCCCAATATTTATCAAACTATAAGATGTTAAATTATGCTAAGTGAAATAAGTCAGACAAATACCACATGATTTCACTTGTATGTGGAATCTAAAAACCAAAACAAATGAGCAAACAGAAGCAGGAAGACCCATAAATACAGAGAACAAACTGATGATTGCCAGAGTGGAGGGGAAGAGGAGATGGGCAAAAGGGGTGAAGGGCATTGGGAAGCACAAGCTTCCAGTCATGGAATGAATAAGTCATGGGGATGAAAGGTACAGCATAGGGACTATAGTCAATGATGCCGTGATAGCATTGTACGGTGGCAGATGGGAGCTACACTTGTGGAGAGCTCTGCATAATATAGCATAGGTTGGTCATATCACTGTTGTACACCTGAAACCAATGTAACACTATTTCTCAATTATACTTCAATAAAAAAATAAATAAAAGGGGCAAAAAAGCCCTTACAAGATGGGGTACCTGGCTGGCTCAGTTGGCAGAGCGTGTGTCTCTCAATCTCGGGGCTGTGGGTTTGAGCCTCACGTTGGATGTAGAGATTACTTGAGAAAATAAAATCTTTACCCAAAAAAACCCCCTATAAGATATTCATACCCTTTGATCCAGCAATTCTATATCTAGGAATTTATCCTAATGCAAAGATATTTTCACTAGGATGTTCATCAAAGCACCGTTTGGAATAGGAAAAATAGTTACAAATATCTTAAATATCCAACAGTAGGTACTTAGTGAATTCTGATATATTCATAGGATAGACTATAGTATCAAAAAGTGTCACTAAAGAATATTCAATGACATGGAAAATATATATTTTATCATCAGGGATTTTTAAGTAGTGTAAAAATTGTGTATGGTATCTATGAGTGTATACATGAGTATATATACATACATGCATAGGGAAAAAGGCTGGAAGGCTCTATACCTGTGCTTCCCAAACTGTGTGATGGGGTCCTCCGAGGCACTGCAGTGAAATCCGAAGGGTGCACTGGGATATTTTACATTTTCAAGAGGTACAGTGTCCTCTGTTTCTGATGATGGCTCCAAAGTAGCCTCATAGATCTTGCAAGTGGAAAGAGGGGTTGCTTGGTTTCTTGACATGTAATTTAAATCAGAAGTTCCGAGAGGAACACAAAGGAAACTGACCAGCCAACTTAGCTTAAAACCCACTGTCAGCTGAAAATTCAAGGTCTCTTTCACAATTGTAAAGCCCATCTTGGGAATCCTCATCCTTCAAGGGTGGGAAAGGAGATGATTTCAGGCCTAGATGGTTTTCCAGAGGAATTCCAAACCTTCCAAGTCCAGATAATACCAGTGCTCTATAAATTATTTCAGAGCATTGAAAATAAAATAGAACTTCCCCATTTCTTTTATGAACATGTTATGAAAATTTGACACCTGAACCTGATAAAGAATGGAAGGGGGGGAGGGAAATATAGACCAATATCACTCTGGTTATTAATGCAGAAATAATAAATGTTAGCAAATAGAATACCACATTAAGAAATTCATATACCATGACTAAATGGGATTTATTCTATAAATAGAAGGTTGGTCCAATATTAAGAAATATATTAGTATCATATACTAATATATATATTAGTATATGTATTAGTAGATTAGTATTAGTGTATATATATATAGTATTATATATATGTATATATATATGTATATATTTATGTATATATATGTATATATATGTATAAATTTATAAATATATAAAAATTTATATATATAAACCATATATATATATGTATATATATATATGGTATCATATACTAATCATATACTATCCAAAGGGGGAAAAAACATATGATTATGTCCATGGATGCCAGAGAGGCCTTAAATAAAATTCAACATGTATTCTTTATAAAAAGACTTGAGAAAATAGGAATTGAGTGGTACTTCATTAACATGATAAAATATACATATCTTAGTCCTAAAGCCAGTCTCTTAATGGGGAAGCACTAGAGGCATTTCCAGTAAAATCAGAAACAAGGCAGAAATGCTCACTATCTATCTCTGCTACTAATTAATATTATACTAGGGAGATTAATCAATGCAACTGGACAAAATAAATCAATTATAGGCATAAGATTTGATAAGGAAGAAGTAAAGCTATATCTAGTTGCTGATGATATGATACTATAGGATCTTCCTGGTAGAGGATCAATGATAAAAGTAATTCAAACACAGTAAGGTAGCAGGATACAAACACACAAAAATCAATAGCCTTCATTTACACAAATGATAGCCAATTAAAAGACCAACTAATAGAGAAAACTCCATTTACAGCAATAACAAAGAAGATTAAATACTTAGGAATTAATTTAACAGAATGTGCAAAACCTGTATGAGAGCAACGACAGCATTCTTTTAAAACA